GGGAAAAACAGTGCACAAAATTTGGGGAACTATGACATCCCCAGGTGGTTGGCATAAAAATAGGGCAGAGCAGTGAATGAGGTCCAGTGTATTCCGCCCCACCCCCCCAAGACAAGGTCAGGTCAGAGGTGGGAGGGCCAAGAGATCCCAGGAGGAAAGGAAGCAGGGACCATTCACCCCCTCTCACTTAGGACAACACCCACCCCCTCTCACTTAGGACAACACCCACCCCCTCTCACTTAGGACAACACCCAGCAGGGACCATTCACCCCCTCTCACTTAGGACAAAGGTGGATGAGAGAGGCTGCCCGGCCCCCCAGAATGGACGTCAGGACACAGTGTGTCCACAGTGAAAGTGTCCACAGTGTCCATAGTGAAACAGTCACAGCCCCAGTGATTGTTGGGGGTAAGCCGCCTGAGGCCCGTGCTGTCGTTGGCTGGCTGTGGGGTCCCGGACAGGTAAGTGTCTGAGCCCCTGTGGCCCCAGTTTCTTCCTCTACAAAGTGGTGGTCACAGGCTGTCTCTCACTGCACCCCATTCCTCCTTCCACTACAGTAGCATTGTGCCCAAGGGCTCCCCCCCCTCGGGACCTCTGTCTCCAGGCCACCCCCCACTTTCAATACCTAAGAGGGGCCTCATTTCTCCCCTCTCATTGGCTGGCGACCCCTCCCACCCAGGGGCCTTGAAAGCCTCCTCAAGTGCAGGCCCCTACCGCCCCTCCACTCTCCAGGGCACCTGCCCTTCCCGGCTTTTGGAGTCCCCCAGCCCTATCATGCTCAGGGCCCCAAACCTTCCCATGGCCCCCAAGGCTCCAAGCACCCCCCACCCCGCCCGCAGCCGCCCAGCCCGACAGACTCTTCCATTTCCCAAGCAGAAAACATTCACTGCAAGTTTACTGAGTGCCCGCCCTACTATGAGCAGAGCTCCGTTACAGGCTGCAGAATTCCCTGGTAAACGTGGGCTCCACTTCTGCACCCCCGTTCTTCGTTGTCAGAGCTCGGGCGGGGCCCTTAACTTCTCTGGGCCTCGACTTCCCCTTCTCGCTCGTGGACTAACCACCCCTCCTGGGTGGAAAAAGGAGCCCAGTCCAGGCTCCGGGGCTAACAGAGGCGGCGCCTGAGGCAGAGCGAGGCCAAGCGCTCGCGCTGGCTCCCACAGCCAGGCCTCCTTGCCGGCGGCCAGGTAGGTCAGCGCGCGGGTCGGGGCTCGGGGCACGGGACCGGCCGGCCGCAGCCGCATCCAGGCCCGGGCGGGTCGCCAGGTGAGCGCGCCCAGGAGCTCCAAACGCGTCGCCGGCGGCCTTGCGTCCACCCGGCGGACTTCGGGTCATGGAGCCGCGCGCGGGGGGCGCCACGGACCCTAGGGGGAGCAGAGGAGGTACGGGGGAGGGGGGGACTGGGCGCGTCCCTGCCACCCCTCGCCCCGTCTGTCTGCTCCTCACCTTTTCCTTCCGACAGGTGGTAAACAAAGCAGCCCTGGCGCCCAAGTGGCGGGCGGGCGGGCGGGGGGGCGCCGGGCGGCCGGCGTTGGGCTCGAGGTCCCCGACCCGCACCTGCACCCGCACCCGCACCCGCACCGCGGGGCTGCGCACCAGACCCGGGGGCTCTCAGGAGTCTCCGGGGAGATGTGCCACAGGGCTCTGCCTTGGGGTCACTGGGGACACCTGTGGGCACTCAGGGTCTGTAGTGAATTGCGGGGGGGGGTGGCGGTTAGGCGGGGGGGCCTCTGGGTATAAATGGAGGGGCAACTGGAGCTCCGTGGGCCATCAAGGTTGCCTAGGATATCTGGAAGGGGAATCGGGGTTGCCGGCGCCACAGCAGGGGCAGACCGTCCTCTGTCGGGACATCTGGGGGAATCGGGGTCCCTCTCGCTACTGTGCGGGAAGAGTTTGGAATCTGGGGTTATGAAGGGGCAGTCGGAGACCTCCAGAGATAGTCCCAGGGTGCTGGGAAGTGTCCAGGAATACTTCGGTCAGATAGCTCTCTCCAGGGATATCGTGGGCGCAGGCGGGGGTCCACGGGCATACCCGCGATGGTCGGGGGTCGCGGGAGTTGGGAGGGGCAGTGGGAGACCTCCGGAACTATCGAGAGAGTGCCCGGGGGGGCTCCGAAGATCTTGAGGGGCATTCTAGGTTTCGGACGTCGGGGAGCGTGGGGGTTCGCCGAGGCTCGGGCGGGTGCTGACCTGTTCTTTCCACCCGCGCAGGCCGGGGCCTTCCCCTGCGGGCGGGCCCCAGAGCCCGGCAGCTCCTGGCGCGGCTGGACGCGCGCCCCCTGGCGGCCCGAGCTGCGGCCGACGTGGCGGCGCTGGTACGCAGGACGGGCGCCACATTGCGCCTGCGCCCCAACGCGGGTGAGTGTCGGGGGCGGAGCGGGGCCTCCCGCGGGGCGCCGTCTGAGTGGAGCCGGATTCCGAAGTGGCGGACCCGGGATTGTTAGTTACTCCCCTGGGCGGGGCTAATGGGTGTGACTGGCGGCGGGGCGGGGCTTGGAGGGAGCTTCGAGGGGGCGGAGCCTTGGCGTTATCCTAGACTATTCCTCCAGGAGGTGACCCTGGGAAAGTTACTGCGTTGGGTGAATGTTGCATGGCTAGTTGTGGGTGCAGGGCTGGATGGTTATCCCTGTCACTGGGGCTTCGCAAGGCATTTCTGAGGAGGTGGGGCCTGGAGAGTGTTGGGGGCGGGCAGTTGGCTGAGGGGCGGGCCTGGAAAAAAAAATCCACTCTAGGGGGTGGAGCCTACAAACGCCAGGGGGAGGGATCGAAATGTCAGATATGGGTTGAAGTTTAGAGGCCAGTTAGAGGGCGGAGCCTGAAAAGTTCAGGAGCCCAATCATGGATTTGCACCCCCCTCTCCCCGCAGTGGGGGCCTAAGGATGTAATATGAGGAGCGGGATCTTCGCGTTCTTAGAGGACTATAGGATGGTCTGGAGGTGTATTCGAATAGCCGGGACTAGGATTAGTTAAGAAGGGGGCTTTGCAATGAATTCTTGGTTGGCTGTCCTGAGGACAAAAGACTCCACTTTGGGCCTATGGCTTTCTTTTTAACACTCCCAAGAATTCCAAAGGAATTATACCAAAATTCTGATGTGCTCCCAATAATAAAACAAAGGAGTACTCACCAAACAAACTAGTACTCACTAAGAGGAGTATGACCAAAAAAAAAAAAAATGTCTTAAACAGATCCTGAATTAAGTTGGAAAGCTGAACCGAAGGGAGGAAGTTCAGAATCCTAAAAGAGACTCACCAAACCGGGAAGTAGACCGTGACTCACAGAAGTGATTAGTGCAGGGGGCTCCGTGTGGGTACGTCACTTGATTCCCTGGATCATCATTCTTCGGGGGTCATCTCCTTTGGATCCCAGTTCTGACTCCAAGGAATATTAACCTAAATAAAGAGGTAAACTTGGGGCACCTGGGTGGCTCGGTCAGTTAAGCGTCTGTCTTCCGTTCGGGTCATGATCCCAGAGTCCTGGGATCCAGCCCGGCATTGGGCTCACTGCTCAGCGGGAGTCAGCTTCTCCCTCTCCCTCTGTGTTCTCCCTCTCTCTCTCTCAAATAAATAAAATCTTAAAAAAAAAAAAGAGGTAAACTGAGGCAAGCTCACAATGATGAGTTTATTTAGAAATAGAGGAATTGGAATTTGGGACTCATCTGTAGCTTGCTACAGTTTGGGTGTAAGAATGGCAATTTCTCTGATATTCCCAAATAAACTCATCTTTTTGAGCTTGCCTCAGTTTGCCTCTTTATTTAGATTGACATTTATAAAAGCTGCTTTGTAGTCTTTATCTGCTGGGTATCTTTAAGGATGCCCAGGGCCTCTAAGCCTGGAAACATGGCCACGAGTTTGATTATTGTGCTTCCTGTTTTCAAGATCGCTCTCTGACCCACCATATTATTCTACTTTCCAAACATTTTGACTATGTCCCACTTTCATTTAAGTATATTTATAGCTTCACATTTAAAGTTTCTAGTATATGTGTTCCATCCAAGGAATGTGCTATAATTCATTTATCCCGTCCCCTTCTGTTGTTTATTTAAGTGGTCTTCAATGTTTTGCTACAATAAATAATACTATGATGAATCTCATATAAAAATCTTTTTTGGGGCACCTGGGTGGCTCAGTAGGTTAAGCAGCTGACTCGATTTCAGTTCAGGTCACGATCTGGGGTTCGGGGGATTGAGCCTAAAGTCGGACTCCCCAATTGTTGGGGAGTCTGCTTGAGATTCTATCTCTCCCTCTCCCTCTGCCCTTCCCCTGCCTCTCTAAAATAAACAAATAGATCTTTTTTTAAAATTTTATTTATTTGTCAGAGAGAGAGAGAGAGCACAAGCAGGGGGAGCGGCAGGCAGAGGGAGAAGCAGACTCAATCCCAGGACCCTGGGATCATGACCCGAGCCAAAGGCAGACACTTAACCGACTGAGCCACCCAGGCATCGCATAAATAAATAAATCTTTAAAAAAAAATCTTTTTGTGGGGCACCTGGCTGGCTCAGTCAGAGGAGCATGTGACTCCTCATCTCAGGGTGATGAGTTCGAGCTTCACGTTGGGTGTAGAGATTTCTCTTTTTTTTAAGATTTTATTTTTTTATTTTTTAAAAAGATTTTATTTATCTGTTTATTTGTTTAGAGAGTGCACAAGCTGGGGGAGGGGCTGAGGGAGAGGGAGAGAGAGAGAATGCCAAGCAGACTGCGCGCTGGAGCGTGCAACCCATGCAGAGCTCGATCTCACAACCCTGAGATCACAACCCAAGCGAAAATCAAGAGCCAGATGCTCAACCAACTGAACCATTCAGGCACCCCTAAAGATTTTATTTTTTTAAGTAATTTCTACACCCAACATGGGGCTCGAACTCACCACTCTGAGATCTAAGAGTCGCGTGCTCCACCTGCTGAGCCAGCCAGGCGCCCTGAGTATAGAAATTTCTTAAATAAACTTAAAAAAAATCTTTTCACACATCTTTAATGATTTCCTTGGGATGAATTGTTGGCAGATATCTAGTATTCTTTCTGGTGACTATTTAAGTATCAGTCTTCTGATTTACAAGCTCTTAATGATATAGGCAGGCTGGGTCTGAGGACCCAGAGGGGGTCCCGCAGGACCAGCCAAGAGAGTCCTTGGCTTCATACAGGATAGAAATCAAATGTGAGCCAAGAGGAAGTAAGAGCAGAGTTTACTGAAGATATAGAGAGAGTGCAGATACAGTGTCTGGGAGACTCAGAAAGGAAAGGAAAGTGTTTTGTTTTTGCTTGGGTCTGGGGCTTTTATTGAGGATTGTGGTCTGATATAAGTGTCCTCTCAGGCACCCAGAAACTGGTCAGAACTAAAAAGGTCCAGGTGTCCTCCATAAGTCACTAATTCCTTGGAGTTAGGGAGTCTTGGCATCAAGATGTCTAGCTCTGGTGGTCTGGAATATACACATGATGGCCTCACCTAGTCATTTCTTAGAAGTTATCTATTGTAGGGTACCTGGGTGGCTCAGTCGTTAAGCGTCTGCCTTCGGCTCAGGTCATGATCCCAGGGTCCTGGGATCGAGTCCCGCGTCGGGCTCCCTGCTCAGCGGGAAGCCTGCTTCTCCCTCTCCCATTCTCCCTGCTTGTGTTTCCTCTCTCACTGTGTCTCTCTCTGTCAAATAAATAAATAAAATCTTTTACAAAATAAAAAGTTATCTATTGTGCTGGAAGACTCCAAAGAAATCATTAACTCCTTGATCCTTACAAAGAGAACATACATTATTTGTATTACAAGGAATATGTAAGGCAGGTGTGCTGGTCCTAGCAAGAATAGAAGCAGGAAAATGGGCAAAAAAGCAGCCCTTCATGGGGCCCCTTCATTTTCCCTATCTCTTTATGGTCCTACACAAGAGGAATCTGTCCCATTAATCTTTCAAAGCCTTAGAACCTCGCTCTCACACCAGCATATTTAATGCTGGTAGTATAAGCAGAAATAGTTAGGGATCCCTGGAAAAAGAAAGATGAGGCATAGCTTTCATGACATGAGAAAAGTCACTTTAGGCCCCTGATCATCTTGTAATCTATGCCTGACCAGACTACTTACCGAAAGCACATTTCTTGCAGAACTTCCTGAGATGTGTTGAAATTGCAGAATAGACCTCAGTAGATAATGATTTGAAGGAAACAAAAGAATGTGAGAACAAACAGACATTATCAGGCCAGGAGATAGCCTAAGTATATCAGGGACAATAAATCATGGTAAAACTCCCAGTGCTGATTCAAAAGTAAAGATTGACACTTGAGTCATCTTTGCAGGATTTAAGCCCCTTTGAGCACTCAAATACTGGACCATTTGGAGCCAGAGAATTGATGATGCTGACCCTTGCCAGCTCTCGTGTCTTCAATTAACTTAAGACCTGGGTTCAGTCCCCTTAAAATGACTTTTGCCCCAATTCCATGCTGAATTCCCTATTTTGCAAGCCCTTCCATGAATATATATGCACCTTTAGTTTAAAACTCACCCACTTTTTGTTGTTGAAGGAGACACTGCTTTGGGAAATATCTCCAGTATTCTCTTTCACTCGTGGCAGGTAAAACCTTATCTTTTCCTATTCTTTGCTTGGATGTGTCTTTTGGCTCCATATCCATCAAGAGGCGAACCCAGTTTTGGGTAACAGTAGGAACTACAGTTTACCCTTGAACAACATGGGTTTGAACTGCATGGGTCCATTTATACCAGGATTTTTCCCAATAAATACAGTATAGTACTATAGATGTATTTTCTCTTCCTCGTAATTTTCTTTTATTTATTTATTTGAGAGAGAGAGAGAACATGACAGGTTTGGGGGGCGAGGGAGAGGGAGAAGCAGACTCCCCGTTGAGCAGGGAGCCCAATGTGGGACTTGATCCCAGGACCCTGGGATCATGGCCTGAGCTGAAGGCAGATGCTCAACGAGCTGAGCACCCAGGCGCCCTCAGCTCATGTCTTGATCTCAGGGTTGTGAGTTCAGGCCCTACACTGGGCTCCACGCTGGGCGTGGAGCCTACTTAAAAACAAAACAACAGGGGCGCCTGGGTGGCTCAGATGGTTGGGCGTCTGCCTTCGGCTCAGGTCATGATTCCAGGGTCCTGGAATCAAGCCCCGCATTGGGCTCCTGGCTCAGCGGGGAGCCTGCTTCTCCCTCTCCCTCTGCCTCTCCACCTGCTCATGCTCTCTCTCTCTCTCTCTCTGTATCTCTGTGTCTCAAATGAATAAATAAAAAAAAATCTTAAAAAAAAAACACAAACCAAAACAACAACAACAAAAAACCCCCCAAAACAAAAATAATACTACATGTAAGAAACAAACTATGTGTTAATCTACTGTTTATGTTATCATTAAAGTTTCCGGTCAATGGTAGGGTGTTAGTAGTTAAGTTTTGGGGGAGTCAAAAGTTACACGCAAATTTTCAACTGTGGGGGCAGGGGATTGGCCCCCCAACCCCTGCATTGTTCAAGGGTCAACTGTATATATATATATATAAAATATCTGTTTAAGTGTTATTGTTCCCCACTGGACTATCAGCCTCTAGAAAGGAGGATGTCTATTTTAATAATATTTGAATCCAGAGCTTGTTGTGTATTAAATCTGGCATCGGTAGGCACCATTTAAATGTCTATTTGTTATTGTACACAACTGGCACTCACAGATTTTTTTCTTAATGGTGTATTTTATCTACATTTCCCATACCAGTAGGGCACAGTAACGTGCACACAGTAGGTAATTAATAAATACTTGTTGACCTCCTATAGGAAGGAAGAACGAATCCACCTCTGCCACACCTACCTCACCCAAGAACTACATTTCCCTTTATGCTTGGCGCAACGCACTCCTATGAAGTGAAAAGAGCGACAATTACTTCCTAAGGCCCCTTTTTTCACCTTCGCCCGCCGATGCCGCAGTGTTCTATGGGAAAGGTAGTTCTAGCGCTCGTTGTCTGGCCCCGCTCAAACTGAACCCAAACTATACTTCCCAGCAAGCAGCGCACTCGCCTGGGACAGAGGGGCAAGATGGCGGATGCTGAAGAGGGTGCTTTGCGGCCGGCAGGAGCCTCCGCTGCCCCAATTTCGTTCAGCTTCAGTCGCACATCTGCCCGGAGACGGCTCGCGGACGACGCGGGTGCGGCTCCAGAGGAGAAGGATTTCTTAAAGACCGTGGAAGGGAGGGAGCTGCAAAGGTGAAGCGCCGGGTCTTTCATCCCTTGGAATTCGGTTCGGTGGGTGCAAGCGGGAGGGTGGAATCTAAGTTGATTGTCTTGGTGGCGGTGGTCTGGAACGCCTGAAGCACAGTCTGGGAAAACTCGTGGAGGCGAGAAGGCGGGAGTGTGGAACAGGAGAGGTGGGGAAATTGGGCCTGACAGCCGTGGCGTTTGAGAAAAGAGGATGTATTCCTGAGAGGGTGTGTCTTTAGGACTTGAGGACCCTGAGGTGTGTGCGTTCTGAGAGAAGGGAAGGAGTGAAGAATGACAGGACCCCTAGTGTCTCAGCTGAAGCGGTGGAGCTTCACTAGTATGGGGAACGGGGTGGAGTGGCAGATTCGGGTTGGGGGAGACCATCATCAGCTTAGTTCAGAAAGGAGAGTCAGAGGGAGAGGCTTCCAGAAGAAAATCAACCATCCAGGAGATTGATGTGAACCCTGGATCTGGGGAGAGTCTGGGCTGAAGATGGTGATTTGTGAGTCGTTGTGAAGGCCATGGATGTGGGTCTTGGGATGAGCAGAGGGTCCAGGACTGAAGGTTGATTCCTCAAAGGCACTGACATTTAAGAGTTGGGGGTGAGGGAGAGAATCCAAAGAAAGCACCATTAGGGGCGCCTGGGTGGCTCAGTTGGTTAGACGTCTGCTTTCTGCTCAGGTCATGGTTCCGGGGTCCCGGGATTGAGCTCCACATCGGGCTCCCTGCTCGGCGGGAAGCCTGCTTCTCCCTCTCCCACTCCTCCTACTTGTGTTCCCTCTCTCACTGTCTCTCTCTCAAATAAATAAATAAAATCTTTAAAAACAAACAAACAAACAAAGCACCATTAGAGACCTGACAGGAGAGCAGACAGTGTGGTCCATCTGGGGTGGGGGGTGAGTTTGGCCCTTTCGTTTTCTCTGAAGGGAGGAGTGTGGCTCAGAACCCACTGACCATGCTCCTCTCCCAACTTCATGCCGCTGTGTCCACATCAGTGTGAAGCCCTCAGAAACCCCCAAGGAACTCGTCATCCCTTTGATCAAGAATGGCCATCGCAGGCAGCCACCGACCCAGGCCCCTGGGCCATCCACAAATACTGAGGCCTTGGTGGATGGGGTGCTGTCCCAGGCTGTGAAGGAGCTCATTGAGGGTGAGTGATCCCCTCTTTGCCTTGCCTCAGTGAAGGAAGAGGGGGAGGAAAATGGAAGGATAGGGTGGGACCTCATTGCTCCCTCCCATTCTTCCTTAGACTCCAAGAAGTCCCTGGAGGAGAGAGAGAATTCGGGTGTCGACCCCACGCTTGCTATCCCCATGATCCAGAAAGGATGCATCCCTAACGGGGAAGGGGCAGACAGCGAACCCCGGGCTGAGACAGTGAGCTGGCCCCTAACTCCTCCTACCCCAGCCTCCCTTTGCCCTGTCTGCCAGGCTTGCCTCTCTGCACACAGCAGGGAAAATCTGTGTGTGTATTAGAGGCCTGCTGCCTATCCCTTTCTCCCTCTGTCCTTTTTTGGAAGCATTAACGAATGAATCCAGATACTGAGGTGTGGAAAACACTTGCATTCTGGGATTATCTGAGTAAGATGAGGAGCTAAGAGAACAGGAAATGCAAAGATCCTGAGGGTAGACTCAGCCTGGAGTGTTTAAGGAACACCAAGGAGACCAGTGTAACTAGAGTGGAATGAGTGAAGAGGAGGAGGGGGAGACGAAGTCAGAAGTGGCAGGGGCTAAACTAAGCAGGGCCTTGTGGACCAGATGAGAGCCATGAGAGGGTTCTGAGCGGAGAGGGGTCAAGCCTTAAGATTTGACAGGATCTCTCTGGCTACTGTGAGCAGAACAGAGTAGTCAGCAAAGGCGGAAGCAAGGAGACCAGTAGCACAGGCTGGAAATGATGGCCACTCAGACCAGAGTGGTAGGAGTGAGGCCTGGAAGGACAGGTCGGGTTTAGTGAGTGAGGGAAGATCAGGGTGAGGACTAATGGCAGCAACAACCGGAGCAGTGGGACGGTGGCAGGGAGTCAGTGTGGTGTGGGTCCATCAGTGAAGCAGCCTGCAGTGTGTCTAAAGTGAGTATAAAGAATTGAGGGGGGGATAAAAAGGAATCAAGGGAGTGAGGATGGGAAGTGATAAATAACAGGGGAAGTGAGGAGTGTGTCTACAGAAGCAACCAAGTCTGTCTTTCATACCCACGGACCCCACTTTTCACCGCTTAATTCACAATTTTTTTAGCAATGCTTCTTTGGGGCCTAGTTCTCCTACCGCCCCAAGACCGTCTTCTCTTTCGACTGAACTGTTCTCGTTGGCCTTCAGCTGTCTTCTGGTTTCTTTCATCTTAAAAAAAGACCTTCACTTCACTTTCCATCCTGTTCCCACTTTGGCCTCATTTCTCTCATTTCCTCTCCTTCCCCAGCCTTCAGCATCTCAGTGGGTCACAGTTGCATCCATCCTTCCTCTCACTCAGCCTAAAAACCTTAGAGTCACTCTTGACTCCCCTCTTTGTTTCATACACCTTATGCAGGCTTTCAGCAAAATCCTGTCATCTCCCTTTGCAGAATACATCCAGAATCTGACCACTTTTCACCAGCACCTACCTACCACGGTGGTCTGAGCCACCAGCATCTCTCATCTGGACTATTGCAATAACTTCCTCATGGGCCCCCTTTTGGTGGCCACCCTCCTGCAGCTCCAGCCCAGACCTCCTGATTAATCTCTCACCACCCCTCTCTGCCTCCACATCTCTTTTTCAGTCTGGTTGACTTTCATGATGCTCTTCCCACATACCAAACTTGTCCTGCCTCAGGACCTTTGCTCTTACTGTTCTCTCTGCTTGGACTACCCGTCCTTCTCACATCCTTATGGCTCCCTCTGTCATCTCTTTCTGGTCTCTGCTCAGATATCAACTCAGTGATATTCCCTTCTCCATCCCTCTGCATCCCCTCAATCTGCTTTATTTTTCTTCATATAACTTACCAATACCTGACATACCCTGTTTTATGTATTTTTTTTATTCTGTGTCTCTACAACTAGAATGTCAGCCCCACAGGGCAGGATCGGGGGGTTTTGTCTGTTTTGGTCACTGCTTTACCCTCATCAGCTAGGTCAGTACCTGGCACAGAATAGGTGCTTTATAATTATTTGTTGAAGGACAATGTGGAGGACTAAAGTGAGGGACAGCAAGAGGAAATCAAAACTAACCTTGAGCTTCCTGGAAAAGAAGCACTGAGGGTCATCCGCTGGGTGTTAGTAAACGTGCTTCTGAGGACCCACCATGGGCCCAGCCTGACCATCCTTTCTCTGCTGAACCTGTAGGTGCCGGAGGAAGCTGATTACGAGGCAGTCCCCGTAGAGGCCTATGGGCTGGCCATGTTACGAGGCATGGGCTGGAAACCTGGCGAGGGCATTGGCCGCACCTTCAATCAGTGAGTTCTAGGGTAGGGGCAGGGGGCAGCAGACAGGGCAGTGAACAAGACCCCCATGAGTTACTGCCTGTCCAGAACCATCCAGGCAGGGAGAAGGCATGTCACCACCCTAAGTAATTCAGTAAGCCTTTCCACTACTGTTTCAGTTTCCTGTTTGCCCTTTGAAACTCTGTAACGGGATCCCGTTTATGTATAGGTTACCTTTCTGAGCATCACCTTCCTCATCTGCAAAATGGGGATAGTGATAATACTGATTTCCCAGGTCTGTTGCAGAATTACATGAAATTATGCACATAAAGCACTTACAGCAGGCCCTGGCCCCAAATAAACATAGACGAGACATTTGCTGTTATCACTCAGACTTAGGATCCCTTCTCCGTTTTCAACTCCCAAGAATTCTGAAAACCATTTTTTTCATAAACCACTTAGTAGCCAAACATGACCTGAATTGATGGAGAGCATATTATAGTTGATTTCTCCTGCTTGGCGTGAATATTTGTACGATTTCCCCTGTAGAAATATTAGGGTATTTGATTGTAGGGATCTGCTTTAGATGCCACTGTAGATAATATGTAAAAGATGGTATATCCAGTGTGTTATTAGGTTGGACCAAATGAAATTGCTATTTCATAGATCAAAAACAGTCCTAATGTGAGATCAGGAAGGATATTCTTGACATGTTGACAGGGTGGGATTTGGGTGGTGGTAGTGGGGACACTGAAGACTTGCACACACACACACACACACACACACACCCTCCCCGTATCCCTGGCCCAACAAGCTCCTATACTGTGCTCCCTGCAGAGTGGTGAAGCCCCGTGTCAACTTACTGAGGCCGAAGGGGCTAGGGCTGGGCGCCAACCTGAATGAGGTCCAGGCCCTGGTCTCCACTGGCCCCCACCACCAACCAAAGCCAGATGAGGAGCAAGAGAAGGATAAGGAAGACCAGCCTCGAGGACTGGTGCCTGGAGGGGCTGTGGTGGTTCTTTCCGGCCCTCACCGAGGCCTCTACGGGAAGGTAAGGAACCACCCTAGGCCTAGAGCCCAAGACCGGCAGCAGAGAAGATTGATGTGAGGGGTCAGAGGGAGGAGGAATTGATGGAAAGGCTGGATGGGAGTCCTTGTCTTTCAGGCCTGCCTGGCTTGCTGCCTCACTCGGTAACTCAGAACCACTTGCTGGGCCTTTCTGGGCCTCAGTTTCCAACTGAGAGAGAGAGAATGCCATATGCCACATGTTCCTGAGACTTAAATTCTTTAAAATATATCCAAGGCACACAGTCTGGTAGGGGAGACACATGGACCAGGCCCAGTCCCAGACCTTGGGCCAGTCTGGTGGGGGAGACACAGGGGTCAGGCCTATTGGAGGTAAGAGTGGATAGCTTGGTCCTAGGAATGTGGGTTTAGTCCTCTCAACCCCTGCCTAACTTCTTCCCCCCAACACTTCAGGTAGAAGGCCTCGATCCTGACAATGTTCGGGCCGTGGTTCGCCTGGCCGTGGGGAACCGCATGGTGACTGTTAGTGAGTACTGCCTGCGGCCTGTTTCCCAGCAGGAGTTTGACAAGAACTGCTTGGATCTCAGTGAGTGAGCCTCCCACCTTGCTGGGAGAGTTGGAGAAGCATTCCAGGCGGGGCACTAGAGCCTGTCTC